TGAGCGCTCTTGAAAACGCTTCGGGTAAATGTATTAACCCCGCCAGCATTTCGATTGGGTGAAGTTATCGTGAAGTGAGAGGAATATGTCCAGAATATTCATTAGAAATTCGTCTTCCTTCAAACTAAAATTTATAAAACTGCTTCTTTTATTGTAACTCAAAAGGAGGATGAGATGGGAAGAGGGAAGTGGGCATTCTACAATCTGACCCGTCATGGCTCTGTGGGAGAGTACTATTAACTTCAACGCTCACGAAGAATTGAGAGTCCATTTTACCCGTCGATATCAAGCACCCTAAATACTATCGTGGAAAGACCATAAGGCGAATGTTATTTCGTGACCAATTCGATGAGCCTCGTTGTACTTTTGTGATAATTATGAACATTTCGGAATGAACTATCGTTGTTGTTGTTGTTGTTGAAGAAAAAGGCAAATTACTCTTATTACTAATGCAGATGATCTTAGTCCTTCAAGGCCTTTAACACGAGCCCTGCCGAATTTGTGGAATGTCTCATATGTTGGTGCTTTGGAAATGATGCGAAGAACAAAGAATCGTTGCATAATAATGTCAAATATCGAGTTTATGATAATTACCCTGCGTTTTGTGCTACTCATTCGATAATACTAAAACACAACTTGAAGAAGAACTTGAAGGTAAATCATTGCATAATATAAAGAGGAAGTGTCTATGAGAAAGCTACATTTATTTCCGTTCTCATGGAAGAAAATAAAAATAAATAATCTTATTTCTCTGTTAATGTGCACTGCATAGAACATTATATGGTTGATTACAAGTGGCAATGACTTTCAAACTGAAATAATTAATTGAAGTCTTTTGAACTCAGCTGGTGTCGACGTTTCTGGATAAAAATGAACATGATGACAAATTACCACTAGAAACATTGAATTGGCCATTGTGAAATAAAAAAAAACATAATTTAAAATCATAACTTATTACATTAAATTTAGGGATAAATTGTGAAAGATTAAGGAGAAAATTATAACTTCGTAAACAAATAAATTAGCAAGGAAGTAGCCGAAACAGCGAAATAAGGAGCAATGACAGTGGATGAGGAAGTAGTCGTTTCAGCTTCCTGGTTCTGGTTGTCATCTTCAGAGGAATCTTTACCTGGTTCCTCGCCATCTTCATCAGTTTCGCCTTCATCCGGCGTTCCTCCATCAGAAGATGTGTCTTTATCCGGCGTTCCTCCAGGTTGATGCAACTCCTACTTTTTACCAACCTCAACATCACTCTTCGATGGTGCCGCCGATACCATCACATTCACGGCAATACAAAATACCAATGCCATCACGAGGCTATGAGTTTGCATTTCTTTCGGTTATACGTATTCATGAGTTCTAAATGAATGATTGGCTTTGATGACTTAAACCAATTATCTATGTTTAGAGAGAGTCTTTCAGAAATCATTGAATGGGTGAATTGGTATATGCACAGGATGGTAATTTTGATGTTTGCATTGGTTTTGGGAATGAAATGAAAATTTGTGTTGTCCCAAACTAGTGAAAAACACTCTTTATGCAGACTTATTATTATCGAGTGTTTCTATAGGTAGAATTTGACGATTGGCATTAGTTAGAGCGGGAAAATAAAATAATAGCGCCTCTGTTGATCAATTTTGTATCATTTGAAGTGATTGAAATTAAATAAATAAATATGAATAAGTACTTTTATTTTCCATTAGTACTCTAAAATAGATGACTCAAAAGGAAACAACGCAAGTTTTCTTAAGATCAACAGCTTTCTCTTCTTATTATTCGTGTTTGGGCTAAAACAGCCTAAATTACCTTAAATAAATTTTTAAATTTACTTAATCCAAATCAGTAGGATGATTTATAAACTTTATGAAATGTAGTCGCAGAACAGGGAATTCAAAATAATCAAATCTTTTGTCAATTTATTAAGCAATCTTTCATTAATAAACTGAATTGAGAACTGCATTGAAAACGAATGTAGTTAAATTCTGAAATAGGTTGCTAGTTACTTAAATATTTATTTATTTATATCAAATGGCAGACGTCGTGATGGTTATCATTAGCCCTTTAGTTGACTTCAGGCTTCACAGAGGGAGAGTAACATCAGATTGAAAAAAGTCGAGAGGGCGAGGAAACAGAAGAGTGTTTCAAAGACGTAAGAGACAAACACAAAGGTAGAAAAAAGTTGAGGTGAGCACTGTGGAAATAGTCGAATATGGCATAGAGTGAGGTGATGTGCTGTGGAAGGGGTCGAATATGACATACAGTGGGGTCATGGCAGTTTGAAGTACCAGTCAATAGACTTTTTTCCGCATAAGTATACGTTGCCCAGGGTGCACCACATGGAGGTTGTAAGTACACGTTGCCCAGGGTGCACCACGTGGAGGTAGCCGTATGGAAGTGATAAGTCAACTGCCGGTTAATAGACTTTTTTGCCGTATGAGTGGGTTGCCCAGGGTGCACCGCGTGGAGGTAAGTCTATCGCAACAACTGCCGGTTAATAGACTTTTTTGCCGTATGAGTATACGGTGCCCAGGGTGCACCACGTGGAGGTAAGTCTAAATATACATTGCCCAGGGTGCACCACGGAGGTAAGCCGAATGAGAATACGTTGCCCAGGGTGCACCACGTGGAGGTAAGGTGTAGTATACATTGCCCAGGGTGCGCCACGTGGAGGTAAGATAGCTTGAACTCAGAAGTCAACTGCCAGTTAATAGACTTACTTGCCGTATGAGTACACGTTGCCCAGGGTGCACCACGTGGTGCCTTATGAGTATACGTTGCCCAGGGTGCACCACGTGGAGCCGTATGAGTAAACGTTGCCCAGGGTGCACCACGTGGAGCCGTATGAGTATACGTTGCCCAGGGTGCACCACGTGCCGTTTGAGTATACGTTGTCCAGGGTGCACCACCTGGAGGTAAGTCTATCGTGAGTATACGTTGCCCAGGGTGCACCACGTGGAGGTGTATGAGTATACATTGCCCAGGGTGCACCACGTGGAGGTAGCCGAATGAGAATACGTTGCCCAGGGTGCACCACGTGGAGGTAAGGTGTGAGTGTACGTTGCCCAGGGTGCACCACGGACTCTTTTGCCGTGTATACGTTGCCCAGGGTGCACCAGTTTTTGCCGTATGAATATACGTTGCCCAGGGTGCACCACGTGGGCAGTTTGAAGTTGGGTGATGGCAGTTTGAAGTGAGAAGTCAACTGCCAGTTAATAGACTTTTGGTAGTTTGAAGTCAGAAGTCAACTGCCGAATAATAAAGTGGCAGTTTGAAGTCAGAAGTCAACTGTCGGTAAATGTAATTTTGCATAGTTTGAAGTCAGAAGTCAACTGCCAGTTAATAGATTTAGTAGTTTGAAGTGAGCATACGTTGCCCAGGGTGCACCACGTGGAGGTGCCGTTTGAGTATACGTTGTCCAGGGTGCACCACCTGGAGGTAAGTCTATCGTGAGTATACGTTGCCCAGGGTGCACCACGTGGAGGTGTATGAGTATACATTGCCCAGGGTGCACCACGTGGAGGTAGCCGAATGAGAATACGTTGCCCAGGGTGCACCACGTGGAGGTAAGGTGTAGTATACATTGCCCAGGGTGCGCCACGTGGAGGTAAGACCGTATGATTATACGTTGGCCAGGGTGCACCACGTGGAGGATTTTTGCTGTATGAGTATACGTTGCCCAGGGTGCACCCGGACTCTTTTGCCGTGTATACGTTGCCCAGGGTGCACCAGTTTGTTTGCCGTATGAGTATACGTTGCCCAGGGTGCACCACGTGATAGACTTACTTGCCGTATGAGTACACGTTGCCCAGGGTGCACCACGTGGTGCCTTATGAGTATACGTTGCCCAGGGTGCACCACGTGGAGCCGTATGAGTAAACGTTGCCCAGGGTGCACCACGTGGAGCCGTATGAGTATACGTTGCCCAGGGTGCACCACGTGCCGTTTGAGTATACGTTGTCCAGGGTGCACCACCTGGAGGTAAGTCTATCGTGAGTATACGTTGCCCAGGGTGCACCACGTGGAGGTGTATGAGTATACATTGCCCAGGGTGCACCACGTGGAGGTAGCCGAATGAGAATACGTTGCCCAGGGTGCACCACGTGGAGGTAAGGTGTGAGTGTACGTTGCCCAGGGTGCACCACGGACTCTTTTGCCGTGTATACGTTGCCCAGGGTGCACCACGTTGAGATAAGTCTATCGCAAACCCCAGTTACTTAAATATAACTCTCTCTCGAAAAAGTTGACGTATCATTTTAAATAAACTAAAAAATTTCTGCTGATTTGTGAAAAGTTGCTTTTATTATTTTCGGCGACATAATGCTGATCTACCAACATCATGAATGCTATGAAAGCAAAATGCACTCTCGACATATTTCAGAGTTGATATTCACATTGTACTATGCAGCAATAATTGACCTCTATTATGCTATCGAATCTAGAGTGAGGGGCAAAATTTAATACTATCGGAGCAAATAACTAACAACGCTGATCAATACAAACTCAAATGTGCTGTAACAACGTAGAGGAAGCAGCGTTATCGCTTTTCGCCAAGTGAGGTGTTGGGTTCGAGAGTACGGAGACCTATCGTTCAACCAGCAATCAGTAGTCGATGCTTTGTTCGCGTACCACTTCGAGATAATTTAATACTGAGAAAGTTCGCCAGAGGTCTACTTAGGCTTAGTCTATACTTGTTTGTGCCATATTCGCAGAACTTTATTTGGATTCACAAGTACTGAGTTCTCTCTATACTCGTTTGAAATTTTATCATACGATAAATTAATTTTCAATTAAAAACGCTTGCCTTGTTGCACAGTCAGGCCATCTCAACGCATCTGTGATTTTTTGCTGCTAACAGAACAGAAATTTCATGTTCAGGAAAACTCGACGTTTATTGAGTTTCAGCTCAACCCTGAATGTCGAGATTACAATAAAAGTGAATTTATACCGTATAAAATATGAAACACCTACTTAAATCCCTCCATTGAATGCATGAACTAAATATTTTTTGTGTGGGGTGTGCGATAGACTTACCTCCACGTGGTGCACCCTGGGCAACGTATATTCATACGGCTAAAAAGTCTACCAATGGGCAGTTGACTTCTGACTCCAAACTGCCATGACCCCACTGTATGCCATATTCGACTATTTCCACAGTACTCACCTCACCTTTTTTCTACCTTCGTCTTTGAAGCACTCTTCTGTTCCCCCCCCCTCCTCTCGACTTTTTTTCAACTTTGTTGTTCCTTCCCCTCTGTAAAGCCTGAAGTCAACTAAAGGGCTAATGATAACTATCAGAACGCCTGCCATTTATATAAATAAATATATTTTTTGTGCTTTATGCTCCTTAGACTTGGCACCGAGGAGCAATAAGAAGATGTTTCAAATTCAAAGTGAAGATTCATTTACCATTTTTTGTACCTGTGTTTGGACTCTCAACTCCCTCACCCCCCCCCCTCCTCCCCCACCCCTTCCACCGCTTCTCATCACAGCATTTTAATCCATTGTATGTATGGGCACTGTGGATAAAAACTCACCGAA